AAACCCCTTTAAATCCCCTTTAAACCCCCCCAAACCCCTTTAAATCCCCCCAAATCCCTTTCCCGCCAGCCCCGGCGCTCACCGGTGACCTTGGCCTTGAAGGGGCTCCCCACGATGTGATGGGGCCCCCCGAATTTGATGTGGATGAGGTAACTGCCGGGGGCCATGGGCGTGTAGCTGACCCTGAAGCCCTCGGGACACTCCTGGCACTCCATGGTCACCTTGGACGGGCCCTCGATGGTCACGGCCAGAGCGCCCGGGCCCGCCTTGGACGTGTTCACCACGAACTCGGCCGCCGAGCCTGAGGGACAAATCCCACGGAAAAGAGCGTTTGACACCCAAATCCCACTGGGAAAGGGATTCAGACAGCACCGAGAACTCAGAAATTTTCCGTTTTCCCCAAAAATTCCCAGTTTTTTCCCTCAGAATTCCGTATCTGTGGTACCGCCCTCCAGGCCAGGCCTGTAGGCTGAGACCAGGCCCGGATCCTCGGCCTATCCCACATCTTTCCAAAATTCCTGTTTTTTCCCCCTAATTCCAATTTTTCCCTACATTCCTGGTACCTGTAGTTTCTTCCAGCCTCCTAACCTCCCAAATTCCCAATTTTCCCCCCAAAATTCCTGAGTTTTCCCTCAGAATTCCGTACCTGTGGCACCACCCACCCCCCCAAAATTCCTGAGTTTTCCCTCAGAATTCCGTACCTGTGGCACCACCCACCATGCTGGGCCTGTAGGCCGAGACCAGGCCCAGATCCTCAAATTCCTATTTTTTCCCTCCCAAATTCCCATTTTTTCCCCCAAATTCCGTACCTGTGGCACGCCCCCACACTTTCTCATCCCCAAAATTCCTGTTTTTCCCTCAAATTCCCGGTTTTTCCCCTCAGAATTCCATACCTGTGGTGCCGCCCTCCAGGCCGGGCCCATAGGCCGAGACCAGGCCCGGATCCCCGGCCTGTCCTGGCTCTCCCACCCGGACCTTGAAGGGGCTCCCGGGGATGTGGGAGCCCTCGAACTTCACGTCGATGGAGTAGACGCCGTTCTCCCGCGGGATGAAGCGCACGGCGTATTTATCTGGGAAAAACGGGGAAAGGGGGATCCCAAATTATCCCTGAAATCTCAAAATTATCCCTGAAATCCCAAAATTATCCCTGAAATCCCAAAATCCGGAACCGAACCATCCCCAAATCCCAAATTCCCGCGGGATGAAGCGCACGGTTGTTTTTGTCTGGGGAAAACGGGGAAAGGGGGATCCCAAAATCATCCCTGAAACCCAAAATCATCCCTGAAAACCCGTTTTTATGGGAATGGGGAAGATTTTGGGGAGGAATTTGTTGATTTTGGAGTGGAATTTGCAGATTTTAGGGAGGAATTTCTTTTGATTCTGGGGAGGAGATCATGGATTTTGGGTTGGAATTTCCCGATTTCGTGATGGAATTTGCAGATTTTAGAGGAGAATTTTTGGGGATTTCAGGGTGGAATTTCCCCATTTCAAGCCAGAATTTCCCAATTTTGGGTTGGAATTTGCCGATTTTAGAGAGAAATTTTTTGAGATTTTGGGTTGGAATTCGCCGATTTCAGGGTGGAATTTGGGGATTTTGGGGTGGAATTTCCCAATTTCAAGCCAGAATTTCCCAGTTTTGGGTTGAAATTTCCCAATTTCGGGTTGGAATTTGCAGATTTTAGGGAGAAATTTGGGGATTTTGGTCTGGAATTTCCCGATTTCACGTTGGAATTTCCCAGTTTTGCTCTGGAATTTCCCGTTTTTTCTCTTCCCGCTTTTCCCCAGCACCTCGGGGATGTTTTTGGGGGCGTTTTGGGGGTGTCCCTCACCTGGGGTGACCTCGGAGATGTGACATTCCTCCAGGGCCCCCGAGGGACTGTGAACTTTGGCGTCCAGCGCTCCGCGGGCGCCGTTGAGGCTGACGGCGAACGAGGCCGGCTGGTGAACCTTGAGCCCCGACTCCTGGGGGGACACGGGTCAGAAACACCCCAAAAATGGGAAACAATTCCAGGAACCCGGGTCAGAAACACCCCAAAATAAACAGAAATAATTCCAGGAACCCAGGTCAGATACACCCCAAAATAAACAGAAATAATTCCAGGAACCCGGGTCAGAAACACCCCAAAATAAACAGAAATAATTCCTTGAACCCAGGTCAGAAACACCCCAAATAAACAGAAATAATTCCTTGAACCCAGGTCAGAAACACCCCAAAATAAAAGGAAATAACTCCTTGAACCCGGGTCAGAAACACCCCAAAAAAACCAGAAATAATTCCAGGAACCCGGGTCAGATACACCCCAAAGAAAACAGAAATAATTCCAAGAACTCGGGTCAGAAACACCCCAAAAAATGGGAAACAATTCCAGGAACCCGGGTGAGAAACACCCCAAAAAAATCAGAAATAATTCCTTGAACCCAGGTCAGAAACACCCCAAAAAAATGGGAGAAGAATTCCAGGAACCCTCCCCAAAGCTGAGGGATTTGGGAGGAAAAAGGGAAAAAGGAGAGGGGGAAATAAAGGGGAGGACACTGAAAAGGTGTTGGGGGAAAAGGGTGAAGTGAAATGGAATAAATGAAATAAATGAAGTGAAATGAAATGAAAAAAAATTAAATTAAATGAAATTAAAAAAATAAAATAAAGAAAAATAAAGTAAAATAAAATAAGAGAAAATAAAATAAAATAAATGAAATTTAAAAAATAAAATAAAGAAAAATAAAGTAAAATAAAATAAAGAAAAATAAAATTAAACAAAATAAAAGAAATGAAATTAAATGAAAAAATAAAGAAAAATAAAGTAAAATAAAATAGAGAATAAAATAAAATAAAATAAATGAAATAAAGTAAAATAAAGTAAAACAAAACAAAATAAAATAAAACAAAATAAAATAAAATAAAATAAAATAAATAAAATAAAATAAAATAAAATAAAATAAAATAAAATAAAATAAAATAAAATAAAATAAAATAAAATAAAAATAAGGTAAAAGTCCTCTCCCAAAAACACACAAGGAAAGCTCCCAAAAAAACAAGAAAAGCACCAAAAGAATCCCAAAGAAAGTCCCAAAAAAAGCTCCCAAAAACCCCCACCAAGAGCCCTCAGAAAAGCTGAAATAAAACCTCATAAAAAACAAAAATAATCCCTCAAAGAAACAGGAAAAAAGAATAAAAAGACCCCAAAAAAACCCAAAAAACGCCCTCCAAAAACCCACCAAAAAACCCCAAAAAAATCCCCAAAAAACCCACAAAAAATAACAAAAAAAACCCCAAAAAACCCAACAAATAAACCCCCAAACCCCCCAAGAAACCAAAAAATTCCTCCTAAAAATCCCCCCAGAAAGAGCCCTCAAAATACATAAAATAAACCCCCAAAAAGCAAAAAATAACCCCAAAATCCCAAATAACAACAAAAAAAAACCCCAAATCCCAAAGAAAGAAAGAAAAAAAATCGTCCTAAAAATGCCCCAAAAACACAAAATAAATCCCCATAAAAACAACAAAAATAAAATTAAAACCTCAAAAAAAACCCCCAAAAA